TTTCTTAATATGAATGAATTGCATGAGTGAAACCAGTTGAGCGGTGCCATTAATCAGGTCTTTTGTCTTGCTAATATAAATCAGTCAATAACAACAGATGGGCTGTACACTTTATTATGTGAAAATAAAGATGAATGTGACATACTGCAGAAGTAAACTTGCAGCTCAAAGTTACTGAGCACAGAAGGGGATTTGTTACAACAGGAGGATGTGTGCCTCGTATTTGCATTTGATCAAGGTTGTAAGGGGAACTTGCTGCACATGACGTTGACATAATGATTGGGAATCAAGTATGTGAATTTTTAGTTTTTGTTTGTATCTACACTCTCAGATCACTCCTAAATAGTTTAATTAGCTTTTTTTCCTCCAGACAGAAGAAAAAATGTCTAACTACTTAAAGGAGTTAAATAAGAGAGTTATAAAGTTTGCTGCTTTGTTGTACTGTTGAGAGATGAACATTTTAAATAACCAGTGATAACCATCAGGAAGATTCAGATCAAAGTCTCAGGCAAGATTTATCCCCTCGTATAGCGATGGAGCACACTACGAGAGGCAACCCCCATCCAAATTACAGAAACAGGCCCAGCAGGCCACATGGTTAGAACAAAGTTATCCCTGAAAAACCTAAGTAAGTCAGAGTTTGGTCTTTGTACAGACAGACGAATGACCTGTGTTTAACTGGAGCTGGTCAGGAGAAACTTTGATGGAAGTGTTTATTAGGTTGTTAGAAACTGTGGCCTCATGAAAACACAGATTCAAGAGATTGCTTCAGTGTTACCAAAAGTTTGCTTTGTAGAGAGTAGCAAAAAATCTCAACACGGTCAAATGTCCTATATTGGCATTTTCAGAGGTAAATATCTGTGTTGGATTTTTAAGAATATTTTGTTATATAGTTACACTGCCTTTATAATTATGCTTGCATGTTGCTGCAACCATTAGAATGAAAGCATAACAGCATATCAGTCTAATTAAAAAAAATGAAATGCAAGATTTGGATGCGAGATGTGTGTGTCCTGGTTTTGGCTGGAATAAAGTTAATTTTCTTCCTAGTAGCCAGTATAGTGCTGTGTTTTGGATTTAGGATGAGAATAATGTTGATAACACACTGATGTTTTAGTTGTTGCTAAGCAGTGTTTATACTAAGTCAAGGACTAATCAGCTTCTCGTACTGCCCTGCCAGCAGAGGCTGGGAGTTCACAAGAAGTTGGGAGGGGACACAGCCTGGACAGATGACCCAAACGAGCCAAAGGGGTATTCCGTACCATGTGACATCATGCCCAGTATATAAACTGGAGGGAGTTGGCTGGGGAACACTGCAGCTCAGGGATTGGCTGGGTACTGGTCAGCAGGTGGTGAGCCATTGTATTGTGCATCACTTGTTTTGTATATTCTTCCCTCCCCTCCCCCCCCCTTCGTTTTCAGTCCTATTAAACTGTCTTTATCTCAAGCCACGAGTTTTACTTTTTTTTTTCTGATTCTGTACCCCATCCCCCAGTGGGATAGGGGAGTGAGCAAGCGGCTGTGTGGTACTTAATTGCCGGCTGGGGTTAAACCACGACAGTGTGTTAACGTTGATGGTTCAAAACCCTGTCCCAAATCAGCAGCTGAATTAGCCGACTGTCCTAAGCTGAGCCACAGCTGGGCCTATTGTGATGGGCAAGCCATCACGAGCAGATTTAAGGTTCTTCCTCCTCAACGCATCCTCATCCCAAGAGGTGAGTACCACAGCCCGGCACAGGGGAACCATGGCTGCACACCCTGCCTACCTGTAAACCACTGTCCTGCGACTTCAGCCGGTGGCAGCTGGCATGCCTGGGTGGGAGGGGAGCGGTGGTTTGCCTCCCCACAGCAGCCGATCCCATCTCCTTGGGGAATGCGGGGAACACCAAGTGACTTCCTGCTGCGATTCACACAGGCTGATAAAGCCGCGTGTTACCTTTCAGCAGTGAATAGCAGGAGTGAGGAGCCCTGAATGCTAATGGACTAGCTTTGCAGTGTGATAGGGTTTTTTTCTGCCAAACACAGGAAAACCCAGTCGTGGTCATATTTTGGATGCTCCTCTTAAGAATCTGCTCTATAAAAAACCTCCAGTGTTGCTACTAATAGCAACAGTACGAGGGCAGGGATTGAATGAACATCTTCCAGCTTAAAAAGCTCAAAAAATCTGTCTTAGCTACTATCTTAAGTTTATTCTAAAATTTCAGGTTTTTAAATGCCAGTTTCCAGGGACAAGGAAGTGCTCTGTTTTTGTGACAGTTTGTGAATGGTTTCCATCTATATCTATAACATTTAAGAGCGGTTCAGATGCCTCTTGATAGCAATGAGAAAGTGTGTGGAAAAATAAACCTAGGCTTTATTATTGCTTAAGAAGAGTAAGGTGGAATTATAGCAAAAAGCCAGTAAGAAAACTGGCTTGTTCCTGATTGTGGGATACCAGGCTGGTGGAGAGAAACAGCTATCTCCACAATCAAAACATGAGAGTAGGTTATTGCGTACTGGGCAGTACTGTGAATCCACTTTAACATGAAAGTAATATTTAAACTTTAGAATCAGTTACCTTCAGGGGGGAAAGCCAAAGCCTACACACATTCTCCAGGCTGATTAAAGAAATAATTTTAAACCCCACCTTTTTCTTTTCTGCAGCTTCCTGATCCCTCCTTTTAGACTTTCTAGTTACATCTTTGACAAGATGCAGTTAATTGGTCAGGCAGCATAAGTATTGTCTTTGATAATGTGCAGAAATCTAGTGGTGAAAATAAATACATTTGTTCTTCCAGTCACCAGAAATTAGTGAAGCAATACTTGTTTAATTATAAAACATATGTGTGCTTTGTTAGTTTCCATCTGTCTGCTCGCTGATTTGCAATTAAATGACCAGAAGAAAAAGATACGTCCTGTGGCAATTCAGGGGAAATGATTCATCTCTAATGTTTCTGTGTTGTGGATGTCTATGGAGCAGCGTCTGTGAGAGGGAGGGAGTGGGGAAGAGGGGGAGGTAGGGATAGAAGGGAATGAGGAATGCTGAAAAGCCTCTTGCTTCAGTTCAAACATATTTTGTTGCCATGAAACCAAATGTGGACTCTCATTAACTTATTGTAACTCATCTTTCTCTTTGGGAAAAACTGGGGAGCAAAATGGAACAAGGAAGAAATACCTAACGAGGAAAGAAAATGGGATTGCAGAAAAAGGAGGCTGGTGTGGTCAGAGTGAAAAGAAAACCACAGAAAAAAAGGAAGGATGGGAAAGTGATAAAAATTAAATTTAATTTGAGTATTTGGAGGTGGAAATTGAATTGTTATAGTATGTCACAGATTTTCCCTTTGCTAGAAAAATGCCAGGCCTTACTTAGTGTTCCTTTCTTCTATCATTGAACCGGTTCATTTCTATTAGCTCTCAGGGATTGCTGCAGTGGTGAGTCAGGCCTGTTACTCTTTTTAAAATGAGACATCCAGAAAGGCAAGAGTATTTTTAAATTAATATGAAGAGAAAAAAAAAAGAAAATTGGTGAGCATATGGTCTCTTCATAAATAGTTCAAGAGATTCACAAAATCTTTTGCTGTGTAAGGTATTCCCATCACTGATAAGGACGTACAGTCTACCTCCATATAGCTATGTGGACGGGTATCATATTAGCTTCTCCCCGTCTCCTTCATGTGTTACTATTCTTCCTTCTCTTTCTGCAAAGCAGTGGCTGGAAGGAGAGCCTTTCATGCCCCTTGTAATTCTGGACACAGCCTGCACAGGCACGTCTTTGGTACCGGAAGGTAGCTGTCTGACATTTCATCTTCAGGAAGACTGGCAGGGAGAAGATAGCCAGCCTGCCCCAGTATTTTTAGTTTGATGTTCTGTGGTGTTTTATTGATCATCAGCAATGTCCGTCACTGTGTATAACGATAACTGTTTCAGAGGCAGAAAGGGGGAGACTGAATAAGGCCTTCAGGATTGTCAGCTTGCTGCTGGTGGATTTGTCAGTCGTTGGTGCCCCCCAACTCCTTTGCCACTGGGAGCTTCTTGGATGTTCTTCCGCATTGACGGCAGGTGGAGAGGTGGGTGGGAGGAGGGTTATTCTCCGCTGAATTGGTGCTTTCTGATGTGGAAGACTTCCTCTGCACAAAGGGGCAGAGGGGTTTTAAAGGGAGATTTGTGGAGAGGGAGGGAGAGACAGAGGGAAGTCTGTGTGTTAGGAGTTTTCAGTGTTGCCTCTTGTGCGTTGGATTCTTCTCCTCCTTCTCTGGACTTCTTGCATCGACTTTCTTCATTACCAGCAGCACCAGAGAGGGGCAGAGGTTCCTTATGCTAATAGCACGTGTCTGTGTTGGCCCAAAATGTCACCATCTCACAGCTGCTGAGCTCCATGTCCCAGCTCCCGGTTCCTCTCTGTAGTGAGGACTGCACAAACCAGTGTACTAAAGATGAAGTAAATAAAGCATAGCTTGGCGCCTTCATTATCAGCCTTAGCAAGAGAGTCAGAGTATGTACAAAGCAGCATAGACTGGACTTGCATTTAGTCTTTTGCCCTTAGAGCAGATTTCAAATTGCTCATCTGAAACGAAAGGTGTTATTTCCTATTTGTACCAGCCTCAGCCAATATGTGCATGCACTTGATTAAACAGTGCGATAAGTCACTATTGAAAAGTGTGACCTTGAAGCCTCCAAAAGTTTCTATTATTTCTTTTTACGGTTTTGCAGGCAACTCTCCCAAGCGCTAACATAATGCTTTATTGCTAATATTGCTGGTGATGATAACAAAGGACCGTTCCCAGTCATGTGAATGTGCACATCCCTGTTGCATCACACAGAGGGAAGAGAGCTCAGGATGTAAAGAATACTTTCTTCTGGTCTGAAAAAAGCAGTAAATTTAAGACTCAGTCTAGGAATGCTCCTAAGATAACATTTTATTTGAAAAGTACACTTCTTCTGAAATTTTCAAAAAGTGCTTGTAAATCTTTGCCAGATGAATTTTGGTTGTTTCATTTGTCCTTTTCATCTCTTCTCTACAGATGATGATTTTTTTCACGAGCTTCCAGAAACTTTTCCATCTGATCCTCCAGAGCCATTGCCCCACTTCCTCATCGAACCCGAAGAGGCTTACATTGTGAAGAACAAGCCTGTGAATCTGTACTGCAAAGCAAGCCCAGCCACGCAGATCTATTTTAAGTGCAACAGTGAATGGGTTCATCAGAAGGACCATGTGGTGGACGAGAGAGTAGATGAAACCTCTGGTGAGTTTGCATTATGTCATGGCGGGATAAGAATTAAAATGCATTAATATCAAGCCCACTGTTGTAATCTACCAGCTATGTCATATGGCAGCTACTTTATTCTTGATATAGCTGTGAATTCTGTATTTGGCATTACTGAGTATTAGCTGTCATAATACAGAGGTGGTGTCTGTATCCAGATCAGTTAGTAAAGCATGCTTGTAGAGCACCATGCCCAAGTTTGAAAAAAAAAAAACAAACAGGAGAACCATGCACAAACAAAAGGGAATTGCTTTCTTAGCCAGGTCTACCCTCCATTCACTTCCCCAGTGTCACAAATTCCAAGTGGTTGCACTGTATCGTAGTCACAGACCAAGAGTCATGTTCTCCCCAAAGTGCCAAAGACCATTTGGGTTGTTCCTAGAATGATGTTTTTTTCAGGAGATTTGTGAAAAAAAGGAGAAATTTACTCAGCTTCCAGCAAGAAAGAAGGAGAAAACATACCTGGGCATAGTTTAGAGCAGTGTATTGATCCAGAGCAAGCACCTGGCTGTTATTCCATTACACTTTTCTGCCTGCTTCATAGAGCCTCTATGAAGGAGAACTACAATAGGTTAGCAAGGAAAAGAAAGAAAAAAGAAAATAAAAGGAAGCCAAGAGCCTCATCCTTCCTCAGTCAATACCAGAAATCCCACTGACATTCACGGAAAAATAATAGGACCTTCACAGTCCAAAAAAAAAAAAAAGGGGGGGTTAAAAACTTGAGTAATAAACGAGCGTAAATCAAAGATATGATTGTTCCTGTTTGGGAAGACTGGTAATCAATAGAGTTTGAGTCACATGCAAGGAGAAGCAGGACTTACTGTTGTTTTGATGGCTCTGAGAAATAACTGGATACCTAGCAAGAAGGTACCTTTCATTTGGGAATTACACCACCACTTGGTCTAATTACTTAGAAAAATAACTCCACCAGATGTCTTGGAAGTCTCTTGTGAACTGGGTTTTATTTGTTTCAGCTCATTTATTAGCACAGAGATCAAAAGCATAAGCTTTTAACGGTGCTGTGGTGCTCTCAGCTTGAGAAAGAGAAGGTGGGTGTAGGAAGAAAGGCTGTAGAAAAAAAAATCTGTATTAAACTTTGGCGCAGTTTATTTGTTTGCAAGTATTGGCTTTTCCAACAAGTTGACTGCAGCAGAAAAACTAAAAAAAGAAATTCTTGTTAGTTAATACATCTTCAATGTTATTCATCCATGGGAGTCCACTGGAATGAAGAAGGACAAGCAGGAGGGGAGCTATCACTGTGTTAATTTTTTAAGCTTTTATTAACATCAGCATTCAGAAATGTGGAAGTGCTGATGTGGTGACTGCAGTTTTCACTACAGGTGAAAAATTCATTCTTTTTTCTTAAAAATCTAATTGTAGAGGAACTTCATGATACTGTAAAGCAAATTGCATTTGACAAATGTAGAAGGCCAGTCTTGAAAAGAGATGCATCTGAATATATTGGAGGACAAATGGTTTGCATAATAAACAGCAGCAATTCTATGCAAACGAAACCCATATCCACTTAGAGATTAACTTTATCTACTGGACTTTGGTGGGGAGGAGAGTGTCAAAAGCTATGCACATCAGATTATTACAAGCCCAGCCACACTAATAGCTTGTTGAAATGAAACTGTCATCAGAACCTAAATTTGTCGGTCAACCGGGTTGTTGCCAAAAGGTTGGATAATGCATGTCACAGTTGGAGTGTTTGTGCACCTTCCTGTAAGTAGACTGAGAACGTAGGGCTCACAGCACATAGTATGGAAAAGGATAAACAATATATTTCAGGTAGTGGTAAAATAATATATTTTTCAAAATGCTGGAAGCTTGGGAAAATATATCCACTGCAGATGGAGCTGGAGAAAAAGTTGCAGGAGACGGTGACTGTGAGGATTCATTCTCACAGTCTGAAGAAGGAGGTATGAGATCATCGGCTTGGCAGCTTGCACCAGTCAGGCTGGCAAAGCCCTTTGACTCTACCACTTTTGAGGCCATTTGGGTTTCTTTTGTTATTTTTGGCTAGCTAGTGCGGTAGTTGTAACTTAAGGCGCAGCAGTAGTGACTGAGCTGCTCAGAGGGTGGCATCAGGATGGCAGCCCAAGCGTACGCTGCTGCTGGCTTCAGCCTTGCGCTTAGAGGCTGGAGAAATTGTCCACAAACCAGGCTAGGTCTAGCCTTTACATGGGCTCAAAGGGATCTTGGTTACACAGTGTTTCTGCTGGGCAAGTCGTGTAATCCCAGCAACTAAAACTGGGAGCATTCTTCTTTCCTTATATCTTACTGTTCTTAAGGTCTGTTCTGCCTAAATACGAAGAAGAGCACCATGCTGAGGCCATCTTCTGCTGCCGTTTTTGAACCAGGCTTTCTCTTTCAGTTCCTTAGGTAGAAAAGCAAAGCAGAGAAAATCAAGACAAACAGACAATAAAATATATGAGAGGAAAAAAGTAAAGGTCACCTGTGCTTTCTTTTCTAAAGGATGGGTAATCAGGAAGAAAGAGGACTAAAATACAGGTGTGATGCTAGCAGTACATCATCTTGGGATTGTAAATGATGCATGAAAGAGAGAAATAGGTTTTGATTTGCAAAAGATTATGTGTTCATGGACTTTGAGCCTGTGCCCAGGAATGAATTCTATGTAGAGATTATTAACTCTTCTTACAAGGCAAATTTGTTTCTGTCATTGATAAAACCAGAGACAACAGCACAGCAATAGCAGTGGCACAAGAGATGGAATGAGAGTGCAGTCCAGCTCTCATCGAAGAGAGCTGCTAGATAGGAATGTTGAATATATTAAGAAGGTTAATTTTATAGAAAGGAAAATAAATATTTATATGTTTTTCCTCAGTGTATATATATTTTTTCTTTGTAACAGAGAGAAGGTACAAAATAAGAGTTATATGCACTTTGCACTGTGTGATATTTTTAAACAGTAGGTAAAGCATTGCTGTAAAGAACATGCATAGAGACTCTGTGGGAGTTGTTGCCTTCTGGTTGGAGAGGATGAGAACAGTAATAGTGACAGGGTGTTCTAGTACCACTTTATTTAATTAAATTAGCCTGAAGAGAGAGCCTTGCAAAAAAAAATTCCAATGATTGAGTCTGAGAAGCCAGAAGCTTTACACAGAAGATCATTACATTCTGGTTTTTAATCCTCAGACTCACTGGAGTTTTTCTTCTTTATGGAAAAAGCTAAGCATTTTCATAAAGAAGTCAAATGGGTGCTTTGAAAATCTTTAGTGCACATCTTTGACTCTTTCATTTCCCATGTACGTGAAATACAAGGCAGGGCATGGTCTTTTTTATGTTTTTACTGGAATATTTCCCCATTAATGTGGAAAAATATATGTAAAGAATAAGAACACGGGTTTTAAAAAACAAAGATGAAAGTTGTTTTGAGGGAACACATTTGATTTTATGGCTGACTGTCATAAAAGATAACAGGAATGAAAGTAAAAGGAACCCTGCAGAACTGATGTGTTTGGGGGCAAGAAAATTCCATTGTCACAGGGCAGGAAGCTCAATAGCATCAAGAATTGTTAGAGCAATTTGTGCACGTTTTCCAAATTACTGTACCTCTGAAAATAACTATGGCAAAAGATTTTATTTTGCATGTGTGTTTTTTACGGAGAAATATTTCCAGACACACACACACCAGTTCTGCAGTGGTGGGAGAGTTGTGGATGTATAGACAATCAGTGTCCTGCACCCCTTTAATTTGTCCAGAGGGATTAAATGCTGCTAAATCAAACCCCACATCCCAGTGATGTACAACAGAGAAAATTCAGGACTACAGGGACCTTGTTTTTGTCTTTTCAATTTGGATATGCTTTGTAATAGTTTCTCCATGACTATTAAGGTGAAATGATCTATAAAACCCCTCTTGCCCTCTGCAATGCCAGTGACATGTTCTTCACTCTCCTTCAAGCAAGGAGAAAACAACATTTGGGACTCTTCTAAGTGCTAATTAAATAGACATATTGGGCAATTCAGCCGGCATTATTGTTTGCCTACACTTTCTGTCTTCTTTTGCTGGGATGCACAGGGAGAGGAGGGCTCAGGGAGTTTGCTGATGACCTCCTCCATGTTCCCAAATAGCAGCAAGACAGAATAAGGACTCTTGAGCCTGGCCCGAGGCCCCCACTAATGCAAAATGAGCAGGCTTATCCGTGCAATCTCAGAGGAAAGGCATGCTGAGGGAGGCTCTTTTCCCATGTCCTGCCTTCAGAAGCAGGCTCTCAGAAGACCTAATGTCCTCCAGGAGCAGCCCTGGTGCCACCCAGCCTGCAGCAAGGAGGATAGGTGGCTCTGAGGACTTTCCCTTCAGCTGCCCCTTCAACTCTCTGCCTCCACACATATCAACGAAAATGATAAAGTTAGAATCTGGCTCAGAATAAGGTTTTTGTCTGATTAGGAGGGTTTATTGAACTGCACTGAAGTGGATGAATATGCTCTTCTTTTCAGACAGAAATCTTAGACTTCTTTGTTTCAGTTTCTTTACAGAGCTGCTGCTGTGATTCCCATGCTTACCGCCCACCATCACCTTTTCCCATTAATAAAGTATTTTTGGATGACTTGCAGATTTGATGAAAGGAGACTGAGCTTTTCACATAGGGTCATCATTGATCTGGCAAATAGGAGGTTGTTACCTTAAGCAATGGGTTTGGCTGCCTGTTGAGGGAGCAGGTACCCAGCTAGCTAAATCTTTAATAGATCACCCGCTCAACAGAAAGATCAAAGATTGACGTCCGCCCTTTTGCCTTTAAAACAGCTCTTAAAAGACGCTGCAGCCAAGACAGCAGTGGGGAAACCTCCATAGTGACTGTCCCTGCTCTTCTGGCACCATGTATAAAGGCAGGAAAATCACTTCCAGCACACAATGCTCTGTCACTTTATCTTCCTCTTTGTGTGTACATCTCATGAAAGCAGTGTATTTTGGTGTTTGTGACACCACATTTTAGAAGGCTGCATTGCCCTAA